TTTTGTTAAGGCCGGAAGTCCCAAGATCTGGGTCAGAACTTCTGACGTAGATTTGAACGGTTAGATTTCTACTAAGAGTATAAATAGCCCTCTCTTCACTTCTAACCATTACGGACTCACTCACAGCTCACCACATTCGTGCTCAATAGCTCCCAAGCAATAAAGGCACCCCTCTCCTCCCCTCTTTGCTCCAATCTTCGATTCCCCTAGGGTTTTGAGTGAAAGGAGAGTGGATTGAGTGAGAAAATCACTTTGGAAAGCTTGAGCATTTGATTTCTTCGTCAAGCCAGTTGATTTTGCATCTATTACTCTTGGGGCTTTTCCCCTAGCCGGCTAGGTGTTGCCCAAGAGCTTCCATCTTGTGGAAGAGCCTTGAGAAGTTTGTATTACCCTTTGTTTTCTTAGTAGAAAGCTCAAGTGACCTTTGTGGTTGCTTTGAGAGAGGCAAAGAGGTGGAATAGACTCGGACCTTTGTGGTCACCTCAACAACGAGGACATAGGAGCTCCTTTGTGGGGTTACCAAACCTCGGGATAAATCCTTGTGTCCCGTGTGCTTGTTGTTGTGATTGCTAGAGATTACTTGTATTTGTTTGTCTCTCTCTCTTGAACTTCATTTTAGGGTTTGGACTCAATCTATGGTTTGGAGGCATTACAGCATCAAGGGAGTGACCCAACCTCTTCACCAAACCACAAGGAAGTGGGGTTGTAAGATTATTTATCCGCAAAGTTAAATTTGGCTCTGCTTTTATAGTTCATGTAGGCGTCGGGACTGCTGATGTTTGTGTCGAAACTTTAGACAACGTTGGGAGTTCCGACCCAAACGCCGGGACTTCCGACATTGACTGAAAAATTTGAACTTATCATTTGCAGTTAATTTTTAGATACGCCTATTCACCCCCCTCTAGGCATTGTTAGATCCTTTCACTCAGTCCATGATCAGGACATAACCAAACCACTCCGCTCTTCTTTTCTCATGAGTCTCCTAACGCGGTGATGCATGTGCCAAGAGGAGAGAGGAATCCAAAGAGCATGAGATTAGACATACACTCTTATCACTTACATGCGGGGCCTAATGAACTCGATGGAAACATGCCCCGAACCTATGGTTGCACCGTGAACTCACCATCGATGGCATTCAATTGCTGTCACCCAAACCCCCATATAGCCATGACCTCCGTAACAGAAGCCGTTGTTTCTTGGCTACTCAATGTTTTTAAGAGGATTCGATGTTCTATCATATGTTAATAAGAAGATGAGAATTGACCTAATCTATAAGAAAGATCGGATCCAAAAACCATACAACCACGTATAACCACCTACAGCTATGAGCTCGGCCCTGAGCTCAAGTCCATAAGCTGCTAGAGAAAAATGAATTCTACAAAGTTCTCTTCGGACACTGCCACAAATCACATACGTCCTCAAGTCATCGTTGGCAAGCACGTCAACTGGATGGCAGCTCTGACTTGACGTGATGCTAGTTACCCACAACAAAGCATTCAGGAAGGTCACGACGTCAAAGGCGTCAACATCGCCGGCCCACCATAGACAAGGTTTTTATTAAGGGAACTGTCAGTGTTTTGTGGACCGACTAGTAAATTTAGCCCTCGTTGCTTAGGAGAGTCAATGGTGGCACTCAAGACACAAGGAATTATACTGGTTCGGGACGAAGCCCTATGTCCAGTGCCGGACATAGCGAGTTCGTGTTCCTTGGTTCAAGTGCTCCAAAAGGCTTACAATGGGGGTTTATAAGCTAGGGTTCTACAGAGAGAAGGGTTTTGAGGTAGGAGAATTTTATCCTTCCAAAGGGAAGGCTCGGCTCCCCTTATATAGTCTTGGGGGTGGGTTACAAGTGAGAGAAGAAGGGTTCTCCTGACCCGAGTGGTCGAGAGCCTAAGGGGAGGGGGAGAAGCTAGTGAGCTCGATTATTGGGCCCTCCCTGGTCTTGTCCTTACTCCTATGGACACGTTTGGGTATGGTCGTTGAGTTCTTGCTCCTCACGCCAAGGCATGACATGCCATGGCGGCACTGTGCCGGTCATGGGATGTCGTGGTGTGACTGTTCGAGTCGTAGTTGTTCACCTACCGCCCTTTGCAACATGGACGGTGTCATGGTCTCTGCCTTGGCGTCTGTTATTTCAGGGAGACATCGTGGTGACTTCGTACGGGGGAGAGGCTGCCTCTCGTGGGCCACTGCTCTCTTGGTTGTGGCTATGTTGTCTTGACCTCCCTTGGTCGGATCGAGGACATTGGATTCGGTTGGTTTGGTGAAAGCTGACTCCTAGCCGTGTATCCCATACTCGTAGTGGGTATGATCGTATGCCTGTCTATCAAGTTAGGTAGGATCTGGACAGTGCTGAGCCACCCGTGGTGACGTAGTGGGGTCTTGGTGTAGTCTTGTCTGTCAGAGGGGTGCGGCCCAAGGGTTGATGCATTGCCCGATACTCCGGGGGTCTGACGAGTGGTCGTCCTTCTCTATACCTAGAGGAGTGTGAGAGTGTATGCACGTCCCGTCTGGGCAGGTGCATTTATTGCCTCCACCGGCTTGCCCAAATAAGCGACCCCTTAATCATAAAACTTCCACTAGCACCTAGATCGAGTAGCCCCCACTGTGCCTTGATGTAGGTTTATACCCAATCTTGAAGGCCTTCTCCCAACGCCGCTGCTACCGTAGGAGAAATTGGACAAGGAGCGCCATGGCTATGAAGAAGAAAAAGATGGTTGGCTCAAGAGCTTTATCGATTTGTATCTATTCTAAAAGAGATTGAAGGAGGAAGAGTGTGTGGAATGAGGCCAAGAGGTGCACCCAGACCCTGCTTAAATAGGCCAACCTTCAAGATGGAGAAGTGGAAAGGAGCATTTAAGATGTGTGATCTAGGCATACGTATCAGGGAAGACGAGCTATAAGACGATTGTCGGCGGAAGTGCTGAGATAGTGTTGGAAGTTGGGACATTCAACACTTACGCTGAATTTATCGCTGGTAGACCAAACGGTCGTGTATGGCCGGCGGTCAAAATGCGTATCTCAGTCGGCTCGGCTTTCCAAATGACGGTGAAATTCAACCCCACTAGCATCGCCGCATTTATTGTTAACCCGTCGGTGGTAGAAGTTTCAACTGCCAGTTTGATTCCTTATGAGGCCTCGAAATCGATCCATTCGACGATGGAAGTATCACACCGTCGCTTATGTCTTCTACAACAGTAAAAGTGGCGACAGTGGTAACTCAATGTGTAGTAGTGGGTGATGTTGCAAGCGTATGTTTCAATGTTTCATAGGTATGTTGTAAGTGTCTCATACGGATATTGCAAAAGTGGGTCGGGATGTTGCATATGTTGTAATGGTTGTACAAGTATGTTGTAAGCTTCTGTTCTCAGTGTTTCATCTGTTTTTCCAAATGTATGTTGCAAGTGTGTTTATTTGGATGTTGTATATGTTTCACACATATATTTCAAGTGTTTTATCTGGATGTTGTGTATGTTTTCAAGTGTTTTTTTCATGTTTTTGCAAGTATTTTAGATGCATGTTTCAAGAGTTTCATCTACCTTCGTACATATATTGCAAGTGTTGCATCTAGATGTTTCAATAGTAGATTGAGTGTTGCACCTCCCTCCTCACTTTCTGTTGCCTCGCCTCAGTGTCTCTTCCTCCCAGCGCTGGCCGGCATCCGCCGCCCCCTCCCCCTCTTCTCGATGCTGGTGACGTTCGGGACGAACGAAACGGCATGGGAAACGGCTACAGGCGCGGGCGTCCAAACGCCCCGTCCGTCCGGACATCCGGGCGCTAGCAAGCCCATAGATCCAAATGACCAAATATGAATTCGAACAAATACATTTTTTAATTCACATAATTGAGTGTGAATAATATCAACATCTAATACGTTAACTGAGCCATGCGCGTCGGTAAAGTAAAACATGTTACACGCTAACACGTGACATATTTTTTTTACGAATAACACGTGACATAATTGAGTGTGATATTATGCTAACTTGATTAAAACTATGTTACCTGATTGAGAAAGCCTTCTAATACAATATGTAGCTGTGACGTACATTGAGCACGTAGAATGGTCATGTAAAATTTCATGTACGTATGTAAAGTATATTTTTTGTTGGGCACATAAGTTGTACACGTACGTGAAACGAACGTGTTGAGCACCTATGTGCGGTACATAAAAAATAGATAGTTTATGTCTTTATGCTAATTAGATTATCTTATATCCAAAGTTATAAAAATAAAACTATTTACAACATCTAATAGATTACATATGCATCAATTAGATCAAAAAATATCTTTATATCTAAAACTTTTCTTATTTACCCTATTAAACAAAATTTAAAATTAAATAGATATATATTTCACATATTAAGTAACTGATGATTCAAACCCCAATCTAATTAAATAAATGGCTCATAGTTATTTGGGGTACCACAGCAAAACTCAACAAAAATAATCCATTCATGATATTAATTCTGATTTTGTATAAGCTGCTATATTCCACACTGACCCGATGTAATGGTGGACCGAATAAATTCCATTACCTGAGAGTCTCAGAGCATCATGGCCAATATTTCCTTTTAGACAAAGAACAAATTCCACATGAGCAAGGCTGCAAGGGTCGGTCGCCCCATGACATGAACAATATATTTCCACCTATCTAATCTAAAACTACATTTTTCTAATTTCACTGTTAAATTTGACCCTACCTCTTTTCAGGAGTTTTTTCCCCGGCCCTTCAAAACAAGCATTTAGGATTCCTCCCTCATCAGTGAAGTTCAGTGAAAGAACCAGCTTGTGACTTGTGAGCTTACCTCGTCAGTGAAGTTCAGAATCTGATGATCACTTTCACTCTTTCGATTGTTCGTAGCCCACAGGCTAGAAAAGAGTTGTCGATAAGCAAGCACTTTCAGTTACCTCGCCCAAGAAATGTTCGTTTCTTCATGACCCAGCACAAACCAAGAATCTTAACCTTCTCCCAAATCCCAATGCCCCAATACCCAATCCACATGCATCTGATACGAAAAGGAAACCACCATTGCTACTCCCAGTTCCTCCTCGCGTACCTCCTGCTCCGATCCGACTCAGGAGGAGGAGGAGCAGGCAGAGCTGCAATGGGCTGCTCCTCGTCGAAGCTGGACGAGGAGGCGGCCGTGAAGACCTGCCACGACCGGAAGAGCTTCGTGAAGAAGGCGATCGCGCAGCGGGACCTGCTGGCCTCCTCCCACGTCGCCTACGTCCAGTCGCTCCGCCGCGTCTCCATGGCCCTCTTCTACTACTTCGCCGAGGACGAGCACCTGTACCAGCTGCAGGAGTCCTCGTACGTGCACCACCCGGGCTCGCCCGAGAAGGTTCTCGTCGTCAACTGCCTGAGGCCGGCGGGGGCTCCGGTGCATCCGGTGGTGGAGCAATGGGAACCGCCTGAAGCCATTGAGGCCGCCACGATCGATAGGTTCTTCGGGACGGATGATCCGTTCTTCCGTCCTTCATCCATTGATACGATGAATGGCATACCGGTATCGCCGCAGCCGCCGAGATGGGACCACTTTTGGGACCCTTTCTCTTCACTAGCCGATCATCCAAATTATGGCGTCGAGGAGGTGAAAGACGATCGAGAAGATGAACAAATACCAGAGCTGGAGGAAGAGAGTGACGACGGCGGCGGCGGCGGCGGAGAAGGTGAAGGCGAAGCAGAGGAAGTAGAGGAGAAGGGTGAACCGGCAGCAGCAGCAGCAGCACCGGTGGTGCCGCCGCCGTCGAGGGAGAAGGTGGATCATGTGAAGAACGAGCTGAGAGTGCTGGCAACTGCAGAAGTCGAGCAGCATAATGGCGCACCCGGTTTCACCGTGTACGTCGACCGGCCACCGGCGAACATGGGGGAGGCCATGAGGGACATCCGGGGCCATTTCATGAAGATTCTTGACACTGCCAAAGAGGTCTCCGTGCTGCTGGAGGTTGTCCCCTACCAGAGGAGAGGTACGTGCTCTGTCTCTGTCTCTTCTCCATTGCGATTTGCAAATCGTCATTCCATTGACCGCTGCTCTCTTCTAGACAGTTCAACCACCTGTTCCGAGGGACGACGGCGAGGAGCAGGGCGCCCCCGAGGTCCCGCCGGAGCCATTCGAGCTGTTCCAGAGCCACAAGGAGAGCCTTGACAGGCTCTACGAGTGGGAGAAGAGGCTGTACGAGGAGGTCAGGGTATGTGTACCCTGCTCTCCCCTGATTCATCTCTCTTATCTCTTGTGCTGAAACTAATCAGTGACCTGGGAATTTCCGAACGTGAACGAAAGGCAGGGGAGAAAGTCCGGCTGGCCTACGAGAAGAAGTGCGCGCTGCTGAGGAGCCAGGACGCCAATGGCGCCGAGCCGTTCGCCATCGAGAAGACGAGGGCCGCCGTCAGGGACCTCCGGACCAAGCTGGACATCTCCCTCACCTCCGTCGACGCTGTGTCCAGGAGGATCGCCGCGGTGCGCGACGACGAGCTCCTGCCGCAGCTCACGCAGCTCATCCGAGGGTACGTGTGCTCGACGGAGACCGCAAGAACACGGCCATCCGAACGAATTATGGCAGTAGTGGAAATGTGGAATCATGGCATAATTTCTGCATCCTTTTTGTTCGTTCGTTGCTCGACCAGGTTAGCGAGGATGTGGAGAGTGATCGCAGACGCGCACCGGGTGATGAAGCGCACCGCCGACGACTCGATCGCGCTACTCACGTCCTCAGCCGCCGCAGCCGAAGCCGCTCGGCCCGTCCCGGCAGGCGAAGGAGGTACCAGGGGCCCGCCGCCGCCCCCGGGCGCAGCGCGCGCGGCCGCGGGCGCGGGCGCGCTCGGGTCGGAGCTCCGCGGCTGGCGGGCCGCGCTCGAGGCGTGGGCCGAGTCGCAGCGCGCGTACGCGGCCGCGCTCTGGGGCTGGGCGCGGAGCTGCGTTAAGGACGGCGAGGACATGCCGCGCCTGATCGTGGGGTGGGCGCGCGCGGTGGAGTCCGTGGACGTGGAGCCGGCGACCAGGGCCGTGGACGCGGTCGCGGCCGAGGCGGCCGCCGTCGCGTCGGCCGCGAAGCGGCAGCGCGGCGGGGGCGAGGAGTGGTTCAACGAGGAAGAGGGGAAGAAGGTGGTCTGCGTGGCGCTCGCCGCGGCGCTGGGAGCCATCGCTGAGGCCGGTGGCTTGGCCGTCTTTGGGTACGACGAGCTGCTGCTGGGGATGGAGATGGGAGCCAGGGAACGAGAGCGAGAGATCGCCGGCAGGGACGAGGAATGAATGGATAACTGAAGCCTGCAGTTGTAACTTGTAGGTTGTAATGGAAGACATGCCAATGATCGGTAAATCTGTAAAAAGAAAATATTTCAGAACTCACCATTCATAAATCACAAAAAAGCAATCAGGAGCCTACTGTCAGTCATCAGACAACAATGTACAGTACATGAGAGAGAGTTTTTATTTACTGATATGAAATATTCAGAATAGGATGTGCCTATCTGTTCACTTACCTAAGCTTCCCATGGACGTGCCTCTCTGTTCATCGTATGAATCACAGGGCAACAAGATAATCCATCAGAACACCTAACCACAATCAGACTACAAACATGTAATAATGACATAATATGATAGCATAACTGCATAATTATGCTTCGAGTTCAGTCTCTCAGCATATAGTATTAAGTTTAACTAGTCAGTTCTATTACAGAACTAGGCAATATACCGACGGAGACGAGGGACTCTGAAAAACTCAAGTCCGTTCAGTTCACCACTCCAGCTAACACAGAAATGGCAGTTCATAGTGCCATGCATATCGATACGCATACGGTAGGACAAGACAGGATAGTTGCCATCGGCGTGCGAACCCCACGCTTGGGCTTCTTCAGCTTCACTTGGACAGCCCGCCGTTGGAGTGATCCCACGGCCAGACGTCGACGCCGGGGCCGCCGCAGCTCGTCACCTCGCTAGCCATCCGGTTCTCCAGGCTCTCGAGGCTGGCGATGCTCTGCAGGGGCGAGTTCTGGAGCTGCTCCGTCGGGGACAGCACCGTGAAGCAGGCGTCGTCGCCGGGGAAGTCCAGGCCGGACAGTACGTCGGGGCCACGGCATGCCTGCCGCGGGTTCAGCACCGGCGACAGAACCAGGCTGCCCAGCCCGCACGACAGCGCGCCGCGGGCCACCATGTCCTCCGCCAGCTTCACCTGCAAGACAAACGCACGGCGGAGACGGAACGATTTCAGAGGAGGTGAACGGGATGATCACCACGGATTTCACCTGCAATGAACAATATGACCGGCGGCCACCTTGACTCTGAGGGCCTCCACATCTGATTTCAGGATCCTGTTGTCCGTGACTGCGGTTGTGAATTGCTGGTTGGCGTCTGTCAGCTGCTTAAAGAGCGATGCATTTTCGCCTCGCAGCTGGTCAACCTGTTTCCAAGGACGTAGTTTGTAAGTCAGAATGAAGCTGGAGAAACCAACCACAATCATGCTATGGTTTAGGTTCAAAATTTCTGCAACTTTCAGTAATTAGAAGGATGGCTGATAGAAAAATCCGAAATTTTGCATTACACTAACACATGTCCTTTATTGTAAATATATAACTCTATACTCACATTTTCTATTGTTTATGTTGCATTCCTTTACTCAATAAATATGTAATCATAAATCATGCTAACATTTTGTTTAGATCTAATTTTTTTTAGAAATTATACTTTATGTTTAAGTCTCTAATTTCACAAATTTCGGTAATTTTGGGGGTGAATGAAAAAAAGTCTAATACTGAAATTGAAAACCCTATATGGAAGCTTAACATTTGCACCAGCACTATGGAAAACTAAGACAACATAGTAGTGGTTACCTGTGTCTCAAGATCAGCTAAGTGGGCTTGCTTCCTCTTCCTTGACCGTCGAGCAGACTCACGGTTCGACACCATCCTGTGATTTGAGCCAAACATTTCAGCTCATCTTAGTCTCCTATGTTAGCATTTTTTCTCAACATTCACTTGAGATAATAAAAGATTCCGATCCTAACTTCTGCTTTGTTGATATGATTATATAATGCTAATAGTGAATTAAGAAAATGCTGAAGAAAACATTGTTCATGTTCTTGGTGTACCGTCGCATTCTCTTCACGTCCTGTGGGTTTGTGCTTTGTTCGCATGGACCACCCTCGATATCCAACAGCGAATCACTATCAGAGTCTGAACCACTTGTGCCACCCAAAGTTTGGCTCTCTTTCAGATATAGGTTGGTAGCTGATGTTGGACTTGCTGCTGCTGCCAATGATTGAATTTGGTATGAGCTAGCCAGAACACTGAAATAACTTATATTATGCCTTGCAATCATTTAAGCCCAATTTGTCTGTTGCAACATTTATTTCTGTCACTGGCTCATCTCACCAAATGCCAAAACCTATCTATTTAACTAATCAATTGTCAAAACTCCAACAGAGAGACTGAAAAATGTGGAAGAGGAACCATGTACAGCAATATATATACCACAGATTGACGATTGTGACTCGATTGTTGTGGAGACTGCAGGATGCCTCACGTTGTGGTTATGCGACCATAGGTGATTATGAATGCTTCCATTGAGAGTGTTCTGCTTGGACAAAACAAAAGCAAACTTAATGGAGTTATCTACATCCATATCAAGGTCTACAACAATATAAAATATATACAGTAGTACTCTAGCTATGTGATCTTTTGGCTGCGTTCGCTGGTAGTTTCAGACCAGCCAGCCGGCTGAAACCCCCTCACGCGTTACTGTTCACCAACCAGCCAAACAATATTTTTCTCTCCCAACAAACCAACCGGAACAGTGTTTTTCAGCCAAGTTTTAGACCAGCGAACGGGGCCTTTATGTGGTCATGTCTTGCTTAATTGTCATGTGAAATTCAGAGCCAAGTACTTATATTAGTTCTTAGAACCTTGGCTTGATAATTATGAATGTTTTGAAGGAAATTATGCATTTAGGAGAAGACTCCTGATTTGCTTCAACATGCTTATTAGGGTTCAAGATACAATTGTGATCATACCATTCAAAATTGTTATTAAGAACGTGAAGCATGTTACTAATAACAAAACAAAAGTGGGCCAAAATCAGTTGGTGGCACGAGGTGCACCAGTGGAAAAAAACATCCTAAATTAACAAGATCTCATCCACTGATCCACAAGTCACAAAGCGCTGGAATTTCTAACACTACATACACAAAGAGATCTGAAGCACCAATTTGTAATGACAAAAAACAGAGAAATACATGTTCCTCTTATGTTATGTCTCCACTCCACCCAGTAATTCGCGCAGTGTCAAAGTTGCTCTGCTTTCTACTCACCGAGTCAGCGAAGCTGAAGGCGGACAGATCGCTGGGGAACACGCCACCGGCACCGAAAGGCGCCAGCGCAGCGACGTCGTGCACAGGCTTCTGCTCGCCCGCCGCCGCCGCCGTGGCGTCCTCCCGGCCGCGGAGGAAGGCCTCCAGCTCCAGCTCCGATGGGCACTTCTTCATCCGTCTCTCGTTAGGCAGCGACGGACACTCTCTCTCTCTCTCTCTCTCTCTCTCTCTCGGCGCTTCTACTCTCGTGGCTGCTGCTGCGGCCGCGTCGGCATCCACAATCCACAAGGCTTTTAGAGACGGGAGACGCAGCGAAGCAGAGCACCGAGGGCGACGAAAAGAAAGGTCTTTTTGGTGATCGGAAGCGAAAGGAGACTAGGAGGGGAAGGACCGAAGGAGGGAGGAAAGGTGGCCGGCTGCAACGGAGTCCGGCGTGGAAAGCAGATTGCTTTATCTTCCGGGACTGCTTTCGCGAGATATCTACGAGTTTGCCACTCCGCGGCAGCCGTCGGCCGTCATGCCACTTTACGGCGGCAGTGCGGTCCGTGCTGGTTGCGTATAGGAGAGAGAGAAAAAAAGCGCGAGCCGCTGCCGTCGCCGTGTGCCCGTGTTACGGGCTGGGGGTACAGACCTAGCGAGAGATTGATGATAGGTGTCCCGATAAGAGGAACTGTTTGGGAGCGCATTGAGCTCCATATTATTTGGGCCAAAGCCTTTAGAGAGAATGTGCATGTACTAGCTTTCATTGTGGCAAACTTGTGCCAAGAAAATTTTAGAGGACAAAGCTAAAGACAATTTGTGATTTGGTTAGTAATCAACCAATGAAACAATGGCCTCGTTTGCTTGTCTTAAATTTGACTTGTTTAAGGAACAGTTTTTTTTTCGGTAGACGGTTTTTTCACCAGATTCAGTAAATTTAGCGGCTTGTGATTTGGTTAGTAATCAACCAATGAAGTAATGCTGTTTGGTTCAATCATTTATGGGTGTGAACCGATCACAGTGCAAACTGATGGCAGTACCTTATGTTTGTTTCATCACCAACAGGATTTGGTACAAGGGTAATCCATCCCACGCTGCAGTGCGTCGTTTATGTCCGAATTGATGGGCAAAGCATTCCCCTCTCGCATTCTGTTAGCGTGGCCGAACCAAACAAGACATGTAATCAACCATTCCCTTTTCGTTCCCGCGGAGGAATGATTCCATTTGCGTTGATGTTACCTTTGCGTAACCAAACAACACCTATTAAAGATCAACGACAGATGGTTTTTTGGGGTATGTGTAGAGAGAGAATTGGTGGAATTATTGATGGTATTTTTTGAGCCTCGTGGATAGATTAGATAGAAGTACATTACTTAGAGGACAATAAGACCTCTTTACAGATAAGGCAAGTCGAGATTTACATGATTGCATCTACAATATTCGTGGAGATATCTCAATATACTATAACATCCCTATACAGTCACAACCAGAGCATCATAAACAGTGAGACTTGAGAAGTTGAAGGTTGTAAGCCGACTCAAAAGGATCAAGATGTCTGGGAGGAAGGTGAATTGGCCTAATTCTAAATTCTTTGCAATAATTAAGTCGTACACTTAGCCCACTTCACCCTTTATGCCTATAATGTGATTCTATAGATATACCGCACAAAGGCACCCTAAGTTCCAATCCTACTCTAGCATGGCAATTCTAGAAATGTAAGGACAAGAAATGAATTGTTCAAATGTAAATGCTTAAAGTAAAGAGAGGAAAAGGAACACGACGATGTTTTGTCGAAGTATCGGAGAGTCGCCACTCCCCACTAGTCCTCGTTAGAGCACCCGCGCAAGGGTGTAGCTCCCCCTTGATCTGCGCAAGGATCAAGTGCTCTCTACGGGTTGATTCTTCGACACTCCGTCGTGGTGAATCACCCACAACCGCTCACAACTTGAGTTGGGTCATCCACATGCTCCGCCGGATGATCACCAAACTCCAAATCACCACCAAGCCGTCTAGGTGATGGCGATCACCAAGAGTAACAAGCACAAACTCTCACTTGACCACGACAAGCCTAATGAAAAGGGGTGGATGCACACTTGCTACACTCCTTACACTGATGAGGCCTTAATCTTGGATTATCAAATCTCAATAACCTCACTAGGCTCTTCCTCTTCTTTTCACTCTCAAGGATGTTTCTTAGCTGAATAAATGGGCAAGAGATCTTCCTTGGACGAGTGGAGTAAGTATTTATACCCCCTCATTCAAAACATAACGTTTGGAGGCTGAGTCATCACTCTGCGGGGTGACCGGACGCTCCAGTCAGGGTGACCGGATGCTCCGATTATCCCCGCCACTGTGTCAGAAAGAGCCGTTAAGTTTTGACCGGACTCTGACCTGCGTCCGGTCAAGAAAAACACTTTCTCCAACCTTACTGATGTTGACCGGATGCTGGCACCCAGAGTCCGGTCACTTTGCTGTTCAACGTCCGGTCAGTTACCGGATCCTGACCAGCGTCCAGTTAGCACTAACCGAACGCGTCCAATCAGGAAACTCCCTCTCTAGAATCTCTCTGGAGTTGATCAGACATAGGCACCCAGCTACCTAGTGCTAGATTTGACAAGTGTGCACCACACCTAACCCACCAGACTTGCCTAGGTCAAGCTACTAGTCCATACCCCCCTTAATAGTACGGCCAAAGAAAAAATAAAGTCCTAAACTACTCTAAGTGTCTCTTCAACACCAAACGACACTTAGAACTAGTCCATCATTAACCTTGTCGTCCATCCTTTGAAAACCAAAATGATTTCCATTGTCAGGGGCATGACCACCATGTTTGCCCAATCAATTTCCATTACCATGACCTAACTTAAATTACCTCTGTAAAACACACGTTAGTCATAGTAATCTCGTGTTGTCATTAATCACCGAAACCCAACTAGGGGCTTAGATGCTTTCATCGACGAGGTACATCCTCTAGCAGTCATAACGGTCGATGCATCGTAGATGTTGTGGTTGGAGTGCTAAAGCAAGGTGGTAGCCCTTTTGTACAGACGTGGAGCCGAGGTAGCCAAGCGTGGGGTGAAATAACTATGGTCGAAAATGTCATGCTATGGTTAGCGTAACAATCAAGGTAGCCTATGTCGTGTGGCAGAACCGCCTGAAATAACACACCTTCGAAGGTGTCCATCTTCCACCAGACACTAAGCACCCCGAAAGCAAGCTACATCGGACGGATTCCGTCGAGCACACCCCAAGGGAGAACTCGAATAATCTATGTTTTTTCTCCAGGATCCAATAATGAGAACAAGTTTACAATACTTAGTCCATTTTATACAACCAGAGTTCTTAGAAATACATTATCATAGTACCAAGTTCAGAGTGCGGAATTACAATAAACATCTAATGACAGAATACAAGGATCCGTCTGTTCCCATCAGAAGAATCCTCCACACAACAGCTATTCTTCAAGCTGCACCTGCAACAGGGTAAATAAACCCTGAGTACACAATGTACTCGCAAGACTTACCCGACTAGTGGGAATAATTTCCCGACTCTAAAGGATATGATAATCTTTATGGTTTGCTGGGTTTCCTTTTTGTGGAAAGCAATACTAATAGTGACTCCTTATGTATGTTTCTTATTAACAATAATGAATAGTTCATTATCTAGCCATTCTAGGTAAGCACCTGTTCTACTTTCAAGCAAGAGTTGAGCAAACAGATCCATTTCACCATCTTTCATCTTCCAGTTCTTACTACGGTGCTAGATTGTAGACAAGTCGTACCTGATTACCCGATGATTCGTGAATCAACGTGCCCAGCTGGGTACCCTGAAACACACGCCCTGCTTGTACCCCAGGCACAAGCAGGACCAACCCATCACTCTCCTGTCAAGGGGTCCAGGTCCTGTCCAAACTTGGACTCCAAGCCCCCATACCTGAGTCCCGGACTCAGTGTGGTGCTTAGAGCTCCACCATCCCTGCCTCCATTCAGTCGGTCCGGAAAGAGCCGGAACCCATGACAAGAGAGCAACGAGCCTTCCCTGCTCCCATAAACAAGTATGTGCTCAGGATAATAAGTCTGTGACCTAACTAGAATCCAATGCAACGGCCGGTCCTTAACCGACACGGATAGGGAAAATAGTGTAACCAAGCTATGCCCCATTGGCCGTGGGACACAACCTCTTACACCCACCAATACCCATACCATATCCCTACCTGGTCTCCATTTTTTCTTTCACCATTTTATCATAAGAGTGATAATAATAATCACCTATTATGAGTAACGGCAGGTTACTCACGCTACCGAAAATCCTAAGCATAGTAGCTACTCGCACCTGTACTAGTAGGACTCATAGGACAGATATATTTATGCAGGTGGTTTCCATAAAATGCCTATAACGTAAATGCACATCATACATATTGTCGGTGCAGAAAGTGACCAACACGTAAATATTTGTAGTTTTGCCATACGTTGTGATCGGATGTGGCCTAGCACTTAATGACATAGGGTTTATACTAGTTTAGGCAACATGCCATACGTCCAGTTTGAGTCGGTCGATGACTTTATTCCTGAGCCTAGGTGCTCAAAGTTTACTGTGGGGTTACAAACGAAAGGGAGTAAGATGGGGGGGTGCAAGAGGTCCGGTCGGACTCTAGACCGAAGGGCCGAGAGTGACGGGAGCTCCTACGTGCGCTAAGTATTTGAGCGTGTGCTCTGATAGAATCCTTGATCGTTCAAATTGATCCTGTGTGTCCGAATCATCGTCTGAGTGTCCTCCCTATTGGGAGAGAGCGCGTCCCCTTTTATAGATGAAGGGGATGACCTTACAAGTGAGAGAGGGAGAGTGTACGTATGCTACTAAGTCTTGTTGCCCACGCTGTCGGGTACAAGATGATTGTAGGCACCCACAACACTGTTGATGTCAGACGCATGTGGGAGGTTTTTACCGTATTCACCATGTATGGCAAATGTCGATGCCCACAACACTGTTGAAGCCCAGAGGCATGTGGAAGGTTTTACCGTGTTTGCCTAGTATGGGAGTTGAGGGCGCCCACAACACTGTAGGGCAACACATCGGTGCCACAACACTGCTTGGGTTTGGACATGCCTAGAAGGTGGCAGGGCACCCTTCTGACATGCCCTATCGGTACTGTCCTGTAGGTGTACAGGGTATGGTCCTCGGTATTGCGGTTGACT